TAGACTTGGTGGTCAGATGGATGAGCTCGGTTTGAAACTTGGCTCTGCCACTTGTTAAACTTGTAATCCAGGGCCCAGTTCCTTAATTTCCTCCGGTTCTCTTTCTCACAGTCTACCAAATGGGAAAAGCTGCCATGTCTGTCCAATGGAGTCTGTTGTAAGGGGGGAAAAGCCATGGTACGATTTTGGCCTAGAGGCATTCAGTAAATGGAGTTTCCTTCCACCTTTTCTTGCCCAAAGTACCCAGCTAAGGAGTGGCCAAATCAACGAGGACCTCATGTTGGGAGATGGGGAGAGCAGGGCCTGGGAGGTAGGCACTGAGCCCTGAGGTCCGGCCCCCGTGCCTGATGCCTCCCCCTCTCTGCCAGGTCCTGGGGACTCAGAGAAGGTGCAGCAGCTGGAGGAGCAGGTGCAGAGCCTGACAAAGGAGCTGCAGGGCCTCCGAGGTGTCCTGCAGGGACTGAGTGGGCGCCTGGCCGAAGATGTCCAGAGGGCTGTGGAGACGGCCTTTAACGGGAGGCAGCAGCCCGCAGATGCAGCGGCCCGCCCCGGCGTGCACGAAACCCTCAGTGAGATCCAGCAGCAGTTGCAGCTGCTGGACAACCGCGTCTCCACCCACGACCAGGAGCTGGGCCATCTCAACAACCATCACAGCGGCGGCGGTGGCGGCGGGGCCCTGGACCCCACCCCGGCCCCTCCGGGCCCCAGTGAGGAGCTGCTGCGGGAGCTGGAGCGGCGGCTGCAGGAGTCCTGCTCGGTGTGCCTGGCGGGGCTCGATGGCTTCCGCCGGCAGCAACAGGAGGACAGAGAGCGGCTGCGGGCCCTGGAGAAGCTACTGGCCTCCGTGGAAGAGCGGCAGCGGCAGGTCCCCGGGCACGCCGTGGGCCGCAGACCCCTTCAGGAGTGCTGCCCTCCTGAGCTGGGCCGGCGGCTGGCCGAACTGGAGCGGAGGCTGGATGTAGTGGCCGGCTCGGTGACAGTGCTGAGCGGGCGGCGAGGCACCGAGCTGGGAGGAGCGGCGGGGCAGGGGGGCCACCCCCCAGGCTACACCAGCTTAGCGTCCCGCCTTTCTCGCCTGGAGGACCAATTCAACTCCACTCTGGGTCCCTCAGAAGAACAGGAGGAGGGCTGGCCTGGGCGGCCTGGGGGCCTGGGCCACTGGCTGCCTGCTGCCCGGGGCCGACTAGAAAAGCTGGAGGGACTGTTGGCCAATGTGAGTGGGGTGCTGGGTGGGCGGCTGGATCTGCTGGAAGAGCAGGTGGCAGGGGCCGTGCAGGCGTGCGGGCAGCTCTGCTCTGGGGCCCCTGGGGAGCAGGACTCCCAGGTCAGCGAGATCCTCAGTGCCTTGGAGCGCAGGGTGCTAGACAGTGAAGGGCAGCTGCATCTGGTGGGCTCAGGCCTGCACAAGGTGGGAGCAGCCGGGGAGGCCCAGCAGGCTGCACTGGAGGAACTGCAAGGGGTCGTGGGCCAGCTCCAGGGTCGCATGGACGCGCAGGACGAGACAATTGCAGAGTTTGCACTGCAGCTGAATCTCACGGCCGCACGGCTGAGCCAACTGGAGGGACTACTGCAGGCCCGTGGGGATGAGGGCTGCGGGGCCTGTGGCGGTGTCCAAGAGGAGCTGGGCCGCCTTCGGGATGGTGTGGAGCGCTGCTCCTGCCCCCTGTTGCCCCCACGGGGCCCTGGGGCTGGCCCAGGTGTTGGGGGGCCAAGCCGAGGGCCTCTGGATGGCTTCAGTGTGTTTGGGGGGAGCTCAGGCTCAGCCCTCCAGGCCCTGCAAGGAGAGCTCTCGGAGGTTATTCTCACCTTCAGCTCTCTCAACGACTCACTGCATGAGCTCCAGACCACTGTGGAAGGCCAGGGTGCTGATCTGGCTGACCTAGGAGCCACCAAGGACCGCATCATCTCGGAAATTAACAGGCTGCAGCAGGAGGCCACAGAGCATGCCGCGGAGAGTGAGGAGCGCTTCCGAGGCCTCGAAGAGGGACAGGCACAGGTCGGCCAGTGCCCCAGCCTAGAGGGGCGATTGGGCCGCCTCGAGGGAGTCTGTGAGCGGTTGGACACCGTGGCCGGGGGACTGCAGGGCCTGCGCGAGGGCCTTTCCAGACACGTGGCTGGGCTCTGGGCTGGGCTCCGGGAAACCAACAGCACCAGCCAGACACAGGCAGCCTTGCTAGAGAAGCTGCTGGGGGGGCAGGCAGGCCTGGGCAGGCGGCTCGGTGCCCTTAACAGCTCCGTGTTGCTCCTGGAGGACCAGCTTCACCAGCTCAGTCTGAAGGACTTCACTGGTGAGGGGGCAAGAGGAAGCATGCAGTGGGAGGTGGGGGGACCCCTTTCAAGTCCTTTCTTTCTCCTTCCTTCCTCCACAACAGCCAGTCTTAACCTTATATACTTTCTCCTTGCTCTGCCCAGCATGAATTACAGACCCACCACTGTCCTGGGGGTTGGTTTGTCCACAAGAGGTGACCCAAGTTCCCAGCTCCCCACTCTCCCCTGGCAGCTCATACAGGCCGGTGGGTAGGGGTGGGGTGCTGCTCTGACAGCCAGGTATCCAGCATGGGCAGCAAGGAGCCCCACCAGCCTGCCCATGGAGCCACGACCTTCCTTGTCCTTTGGAAACTCCTTTTATGGCTTTCCCTCAACTTGATTTTGTCACTGTAGGGCCTGCGGGTGAGGCTGGGCCCCCAGGGCCTCCTGGGATACAGGGACCACCAGGCCCTGCTGGACCTCCAGGACTTCCAGGCAAGGATGGACAAAGGGGGCCCATCGGGCCACCAGGTATGCGAGCTGAGATTCCTACCGCAGCCAGGGCTCCCCACACCTCTAGCAGCCCTAGGCTTGACATTCATTCCATTCTGAACTTGACAGAGAAGGGAGGAAAGGGGCAAGGAGTTGGGGGGGTGGGGAGTCCTCCATGGCTGACAGTGACTAGGAGCTGGGACAGTCACTATATGGGCTAGTTGGATATGGTGGCCTTAGTGCTGTATTGAAGACTAAGGCTGAGCTCACAGGGCTATGAAGGGTGTGAAAGGCTGGGGGCTAGTTGAACTGGATGGACCCTATTCTTCCTTTTCTTGATACCCCCGTTCCTGCTTTGGAGTCTATGTGACACCTAGCACATTGAGAGAGACGCAGCAGATGTTTGCTGAGTGACTTAGTGAGAGCTGCCCCACTTCTCACTCCTCCCTCTCCTCTTCCCACAGGTCCCCAGGGAGAGCAGGGTAAGTTCCTTTCATTCGGTGCTGGAGGGAGTGGAACTGAACTAGGGGTTGGAGGATGGAAGGCCTCAGGCAGCCCTGGAGGGAGAGACCCAGGAAGGGAAGGGGGCCAGGCAGCTCTGCACTGAGCATGCACTCTGACCCCCACCTTACCCCTACCCAGGAGTGGAGGGGGCACCAGCAGCCCCCGTGCCCCGGGTGGCCTTTTCAGCTGCCCTCAGTTTGCCACGGTCCGAACCAGGCACAGTGCCCTTCGACAGAGTCCTGCTCAACGATGGGGGCTACTATGATCCAGAGACTGGTAAGCCTGGAAGCAGGCTGGCTGGGCAGTGGGGCAGGCCTGGGAGGCTGTGCAGTGATATGTTCTCATTCTTGCACTCTCGGCAAGGGGAATCTTTTCATGCTCTGGTTTGGGGAGACCCCTATTTCCTTCATTTATTCATTCTCACCACAGCTTGGGCTAAGGGGGGGGGGGAAGGAGCGCTTCTTTTTGGAGGCCTGGGGCTGCTGTAATGAACAAAACACCCAATTCCCTGGCGTGGTGGAACTTACATTCTAGTGGAAGACAGGTGACAAGACCCAGCAGGTCTTTCCTTAGTCCAGGAGTTCTGGGAGGGCTCCCCAACACCTCCCTGGCCCCTGCCACCTGTCTCCCCTCCTGACTGCCATCCTTGTCCCCAGGCGTGTTCACAGCTCCACTGGCCGGGCGCTACTTGCTGAGCGCGGTGCTGACTGGGCACCGGCACGAGAAAGTGGAGGCCGTGCTGTCCCGCTCCAACCTGGGCGTGGCCCGCATAGACTCTGGTGGCTATGAGCCTGAGGGCCTGGAGAATAAGCCAGTAGCTGAGAGCCAGCCCAGCCCCGGCGCCCTGGGCGTCTTCAGCCTCATCCTGCCTCTGCAGGCTGGAGACACGGTCTGCATCGACCTGGTCATGGGGCAGCTGGCGCACTCGGAGGAGCCGCTCACCATCTTCAGCGGAGCCCTGCTCTATGCGGACCTGGAGCTCGATCAGGTGTAGACAGGGGGCTGGGCCCGACCAGCCCGAAGTGTCTACGCCGGTCAAAGAGCCAGCGGGGGTGACGGGGTTCCGTCCTGGCACCCCAGCCCTAGGCGAGCCGCCGTCCCGTACCCTCTGTGGCACAGGCGCCCAGAGCACTCCTCTCCATGGCCTGAGTGCGCCGGGTCGGGGACTCTGGGGTCCCCTCGTCCAGACTTTTGGCCTGCTCGCCGTCCCCTGCAGGGCCCAGACTGCGGAGGAGCCAATCCTCGCACCCTCGCAGCTCCTCCAGCGGGTCTCTAGGCCGATGCAGGGCTCTCCCGAGGGGCTCCGGCCCCCATCGCCATACTAAACTATTCAGGAATAAAGACACTTGGTTTTTCTAAAAAAGAAAACAAAACAAAAGAAACTGTCTGCTCCAGTATCTGTTCAAGGGTAGAGAGAAGTACAGAGGGGCCGGGGTAAGGGGGGAGCCCTGGGTTCCCTATCCTGGTCGCCCCCACCTCCCGGCTCGGTGGCTCTGCGCGCACTTGCAGTGCACCCGCCTGCGGAGAGAGGGGCCGGCTGCTTTGGGCCGCGGCCCGGCGCTCCTCCCCCGAATGCCCGTTCCGCCGGCGTCCGCCAGGGGGTCCTGGGAGCCGGCCCCCGTCACGTGACCTCCGCCGCTCACCTAGCAGCCCCCGCTGCTCGGCGACGGAGGCGGGGCCTCGAGCTGGGATTGGCTGGACCTCGGGGGCGGGGCGCAGACGGCGCGAGCGACGGCTAGGGCTGAAGGGTTCAGGGCGCAGCTGCGAGGCCCGGCTCAACTCAACTAGGGTCTGGAGTGCGAGCCGCCGGTGCAGGAGAGGAAGGGGCAGGAGGCGCCTTGGTACTGCACTTTTTTTTGCATTTAGGAGATTGCCTAGCTGCGCTTTAGAGAGGTTTGCATTAGCTCCGAGGCTGTCTGACAAGTGAGGCCGAGAAGTGGGAGGCGTTGCCATCTGCTGGGCCACGCCACCTGCTGAGGGGGAGCCGGGGACCAAAGCCTCGGGGTCTGCGCTCCCAGGCCCGCTTGAATCGGTGGGCGTGGGGAGCAAGGGACCTGCTCCCTTCTCTCCCGGCTGCAGGAGGCCCCCTGGGGGAGGAGCTCGGGACGCAGAGGAGGAGCCAAGTCAACCCCAGGAGCAGGGACACAACCCTCTGGGATAAGAGGCAGAGCCCAGGAGGAACCCCGTCAGCCAGGCGGGCAGAAAGCTCCGGGAGCAGCCTCATGGAAGACAAGCAGATCCTGTGCGTGGGGCTAGTGGTGCTGGACATCATCAATGTAGTGGACAAGTACCCAGAGGAGGACACCGACAGCAGGTAGGGGCGCCCGGGCCCCTCGGAGACCGCAGGGGCCGCTGCAGCCCCGGGTTTGAGCCCGGCAGCCAAGACCCCATCCCCAGGTCTGCGGGCCCCGCAGTGAAAGTCCAGCCTCGGGAGCTGGTATCCCGTGCCTTCCGCCCCGGAGGACCTAGGAAAGAATGGAGGCCGTTAATAATAAGACCCAGGCTTTGGATAGCACTGTGTTGGCCAATTCCCGTTTCAGGAATCATTATCCGCGTTTAGAAATTCTTTGAGATGAAGTGATTTATCCAAGGGCATGCAACTAGTAAGGGGCAGGACCAGCTTCTTTCTTTCTAACAAAAAGACCGATGCACTTGTCTCTCACCAGCGTTTACTTCTAATTTATCTACTACGTATATCTCATCTGTTTCTTAAATAAATTTTGAGGTAGCTTTCAATAATAAGTATGTGCAGGTAGAGTGCAAGAACACTTAAAACCATGGTATTTGAGCTTCACTATAGCTTCAGAGCTTGCTGGCACTAGAGGCAAATTTAGACATTCTGTGGGTTATGGATAGAGCTGGCTCATGTGCCATGACCAACTTTTCTCTGGTGCTAAATTCCAAAAGGAGTTTACCAGAAGTCATTTTTACAAAAATCAGTGAATAACGTCCTTCTTGGTTGTCTGGTAGAAGTCGAAGAGTCGCTGGTTGGCTCTCATATTTACTCTTGGTAAGAACCTCACCTTTACACTGTAATCCCAGAAGGGCATTTCTATGAGGCAGAATCCGAGCCTTTCTCTTGGTGCTGTCTGGTGCTTAGAATCCTGAGAATTGCTCCTGGGCTATCAGTTTTCTCAGCCAAGAACTGGATGAATGGCTAGTTCAAGGTTTAACTCAGACAAGACACTATAGCACTCATAGCCATGAATACCCAGTTCTCCCTGTTCTGATTGAGGAGAGAGACCCGAGTAGTCTCCAGGCTCTGGGTCCACCCAGCACTGTCACGTACTTTGCTTACAGCAGCCCATGGGAAATGTGTAAGGGTCAGTCAAATTCCCTCCTTACAGATGAGGAAGCAGCTATCTCTGGGGAGAAATTAAATAATTATTGTAAAGGCCACATAGTGAGTGAGTGGCAAAGCAGTAATTACAATTCATGGGAATCTAGTGCTCCAGCCCTCTGTCGTCTCCTGAGCTCCCTCTCCCTTTGCTGCTGCCCATCTCATGGAATTGACCCTTTGCTTTGGGCTGCTCTGTTTGCCAGAGGTTAGAGCCTTTGCCAGGGAGGGCAGGGACAGCGGGGGAGGGGCACAAGGGTAGGCTGCTTTGTAGACCTAGCCAGGTCAAGCCGGCCACAGGACGCGGACACAGTGAGGAGTTGCACCTCCTCAAGAGAACAGTGTGGGTTCCAAGGCCGCAGGTCCTCCCAAGGACTGGAGGGCCTGGGGAAGACCCAGAGTGCCACTTTCAATGACAGCTTCAGTGCCATTCCCTTTGAGATTACTTACTGGAGAGGCTAGGATAAGGAGATCCTGCTAGCTCCCACCAGGATGGGCTCATTCTGAAGGAGGGCACCGTGTTCTCCATGCCCCCTGCTTGCAGGGTGTACCTCCTCCCCCTCCCCCCGCTGCATGGTTCTGCTCCTCTGCAGAGCGGTGTGGTTGTCCATAGGGCCTCTCTCTCTCTCTCTCTCTCTCTCTCTCTCGTGCCCAGTCCACCCAGCCCACCTCCTGGACTCTCGTGCCTCCCAGATGAGCAAGCCCAAGTGGGGACGCAATTCTTCCCAGGCATTTCGGCCCCACCTCTCCAAGGCTCTCCGGGCTCCACAGGCATCTGGGGACCCTCAGGAGCCACCACCTGGAATTTGGCCAGACCCCTGAGTTATGGCCTTGCCTCCCAGAGTCCAGGCCAAGAAGAGCCTTCCAGAAAGCATCCTCATGCTCAGCAGGGCATTTCTGCACAGGAAGTTGGGTATCAGTGTGACTTTGAAGGATTTCCACAAAGTAAAATTGTATACACTTTCTTCGAAACCTCATCCAAGCCGGGGCCTGACTACTTTCCATTCACAACTACACATTACATGGCGGTGGTTTTGGAGTCAGGCTGCCTGGGTTCTGATGGCAGCTTTGTCACTAACTATTGGTGTGATCCCAAGTCAGTCAAATCCCACGAGGCTCCCCATTCTAATCTGCATGAAAATTTCTCTAAAGCTCATAGCTCGAAAAATGTCCCTTTACAAACTAGTATCCTTCCTAACAAGATCATGGACCCCTTTTCCCGAGACTGAAGGGTTGTTTTGTGTGCCAATATACCTTAGCCTAAAAATTCTGCTTCCTGTATTTTTCTTCATTAGTCGTTCTTATTGTAAGCGGCCACATTTATTCTTTTTGGAACTGGAAGAACAGAAATGACAGCCTGCACTGTCTACCCCAAAGTATTGTGGGCGCACAATGAGACATCATTAAAGTGCTTTGATGCGCGTGTAAGTCATTGTTTTTGTTGTTGATAACAACGAAGCCCTGCAGGTGCATCTCCAGTTGGTTTCCTCAGTGTACACCTTGAGTTAGATTTTCAGTCAAGATAGAGAAAAACTAAAGAAGAAAAAAAGGTAATCGTGTGATGGGGTAGTGTGTCAACTAACCTTCCTGTGGTAATCATTTTGCAATACGCCCGTTTCAAAGCACGTTGTATACCTTAAATTTACAGAATGTTATATGCCCCTTTTTTTTTTTTTTTTTTTTTTTTAAAGATTTTATTTATTTATTTGAGAGAGAATGAGAGATAGAGAGCATGAGAGGGAAGAGGGCCAGAGGGAGAAGCAGACTCCCCACTGAGCAGGGAGCCTGATGTGGGACTCGATCCCAGGACTCCAGGATCATGACCTGAGCCGAAGGCAGTCGCTTAACCAACTGAGCCACCCAGGCGCCCCTGCCCATTATATTTCAATAAAGCTGAAAGAAAGGGAAACAAAAAATGGAGAAAAACTGGTCTTCATCCAATAATCTTTTTAACTTTTGACATTATTATGTAAGTTAGCTTCCCCCTTCCCTCCCCGCCCCCCCCACTTAAATGACCTCAATGTCCAGGTTTACTCCTTGTCTTACTTATTTTAACCCGAGTTATTATTGAAGTGGGCTCCCCTGAGACGGGAGCAGGGAGCCGATTTGACACCTGTGGGAAGAGGCACTTGGAGTTCTCCAACCATCGGGGCTGAAGGTATGACAGCTCTGTACCTCGGGGAGAGCGGGTCATCGTAACTGAGAACGGGTCACCCACAGTGGAGCCCTCCTTTGTGATGGACCTGAATGCATGAAAATGAGAAGGCTGGTCGAGATGCTTTCTGAGGGGGAGCTCCCAGCTTTTACACGTCATGGGCCCTACCCAGGGCACTGTGGCCGGCCTTGCTTATCCCGGCACCAGCCTGCCGGAGCTGCAGGGACCATCCGTGTGTTTTGCAGGTGCTTGTCCCAAAGATGGCAGCGTGGAGGCAACGCATCCAACTCCTGCACTGTTCTGTCCCTGCTTGGAGCCCCCTGCGCCTTCATGGGCTCGCTGGCCCAGGGCCATGTTGCCGAGTGAGTGGAGGAGGGAGCCGGAAGGTGGAAAAGAAGGAAGTCTGGACCCTGGGGGGTGGGGAAAGGGCAGGCTATAAGAAATGGGGTGGGATAACTCTGGATCCAGAGTTGGAGGGGGCGGAGTGGAGTACCAGTGTCCTAGACCCTCCCACGTGAGCTTATCTGCTGCTCAGGTGTTAAGGCTCTCCTGCTAAAACTCTCATTTCCACAGCCTGTTTCCTCGGCCCCTCCCCGGAGCCTGCTCAGCTTCCCACCTCTTCCTTCCTTGCTTCCAGCGGACTCTGCGGTGGCTATGACTTTGCCCTTCTCGATTCCCCGTGGTCCTGGCTACGCTTGCGGCAGGAGGCAGTCAGGGACATGCCATATCCATCCTCCCCCCGGGGATGTCCAGCCTCCATGGTCCTAGGGTTCAGGCCCACAGTTTCTTTCCCCGTTGAGGGGGCAGGGCAAGTGCTGGTATCCTCCCTGTTCACTGAAGCCACAAGAGCACCCTGCCCGAGGACTCCCTGAAGCCACGTGCTAACACGGCCCGGACCCAGGCCTCAGCTGTCCAGCTATTTAGGCTGCAGCCCGTGGTGGCCCACACACTTCCTCTGTGTTAGCTGCCGCAGGGACCCAAACGCCCTTTGACCCCTGGCCCTGCCAGTTCAGCAGATGCTTATCAGGAGGTGAGGCCCACACTTTGCCCACTGTGGGCACTAGGGCAGGCTGCCAGCTTGCTGGTCTGGGAAACTCAGCCCTTTGAACCCTGGTTTCAGGGGGGTTGTTGCCCAAACCCAGCCCCCTGAGTGAACTGGCACGAAACAGATCAGGGGGCAAGAGCCTGCCCTGTGAGGTGGGACAGAGGGACCTGGAGCCAACAGCTGGTCACTTGTTAACTTTCTCCAGCGGCTGTCTTCCTTCCCAGCAAGGGGCAAGACTGTGGCTCTTGCTTAGGATAGTGGACTCGCCTTTATGGAATGACAATGCTGGGAGGTGGGCCATTCCAACTTCTCCCCATGTGTTTAACGAACATTTAATGAGCACCTACCATGTGCCAGGCACTGTGGGTGCAAAAAGTCATTTGGAAAACCAAACCATAGTTGGGATGCTTTGGGAAAGTTACTATTTAAAGGATCCTTGAGGTGTAAGATGAGGAGTAATGCCCCAAGTTGGTACCTATATACAAGTCTGTATTGTCTAGCTTTGGTGTTGCCAAAAGTGGGGTCCAGCCATAGAGAGAAAGGTCGGGATGGTGGCTGGACTAGTGGGCACAGGATGCTGTCTCCAGAGAGGGCCAGGAAACGTGGGGTGGCCCCCTTGTTCTGTGGGTGCAGTCTCCCCAAGGGGCCACCTCCTGCTCACTCTGATTGGAGGAGATTCTGGGGTGAGAGTCCCGGACCAGGCCCACTCTGAGGAGCATTAGGCACTGGGAGCCAGCTCACTGCCTGGAGGGTTCACCCTGTTGCGAGAGCAGGGGCCCATGAGTGGCCTCACCAAGGCCGCACCACTTCCTGGCTGGGCATTATGGAGGCAGGTGTCGAATGACCTTGGCTCCGGAAGGGCCTTCCGAGAGAAGAGTACCGTGAGGATGAGTGTGTGGAGGGCCACTGGGGAACAGAGTACCACCTTGGTGATTCGTAATTCTGCCTAGGCTGTGCGTGAAACAGGCCACGGTGCCCTCACCTGCTTTGTTCAAACAGGGTGTACATGCTCTAGGCCCCTGATCTACCCCATCCAGTTTAATGAATTTCAGCACATCCTTTCTGGCTTGAGTCAGACCGGAGGCCAGGTTCAGGGTTGGAGTTTACTTCAATCAAGATGTAAAAGAACGTCCCTTAGTGTTTTTCTCACTGAGTTCCCGCTATGCGCCCCTGCCTCTTCTGCCCCCTTGCACAGCCTGGGACAGCATGGTGGTTTCCAGTTCCCTCCTGCCCCCCACTCCCCCGCTTGCATCCAGGGTCCCCAGCGGCCCTGCCACCGGCCCTCCAGTCCCCAAACCTTTGTCGAGCCGCACCTCCCCGCGGGTTACTCCATCCCAGCAGTTTTGTCCTAGATGACCTCCGCCGCTATTCCGTGGACCTACGCTACACAGTCTCCCAGACCACGGGCTCTGTCCCCATCTCCACGGTCATCATCAGTGAGGCCACTGGTAGCCGCACCATCCTACATGCCTACAGGTTTGTATGCCTGTCTGCGCCTTGCCAGCCGCCGCCGTTGTCACTAACTCTCGGAATAGGACCCTTCTTCTCTGAGAGGCCCGTGGGACCCCTCCCATCCTGCAGGAGGTCCAGGCCGTTTGTAGGCTCTAATCTGTGTCTCCTTGCCCTTCCCTCGGCTCGGGCTCCGCCCCAAGCTTCCTGGTGGCTGACTTCAGGCAGCGGGGCGTGGATGTGTCCCAGGTGGCCTGGCAGAGCAGAGGGGAGACCCCGTGCTCTTGCTGCATCGTCAACAACTCCACTGGCTCCCGCACCATTGTGCTCTACGACACGTAAGGCCCCCTGGCCTCGCCCTCGCACAGACCACCAATCAGTTCCCTCGCTCGCCACCCTGGGCGTCCCAGCTGCCCGCTCTCTGTCGCCTCTCCTTGTACCGGAAATTGTCCCCATGCCAAACTGTTCAGTGATTTCTCAATTGTTTTCAATTAGGGAAGAAGTGAGGGGGGAAGAGATGTGCTTTGCTCTGCCCGGTGCCTTGGCCTTGGTCAACACTAAGGATGGGCAGGCAAGCCTGTGCAAAACATAATTCATGATGTGATTCCTTCATAACTGGTCAATCAGCAGCCTGGGAGTGGGTGTGGGGAAATTGTTCTGAGGAGAGAGGGATGGATGGGAGATGTGATTCCAGCCATCTTAAGCCCTGAAGGGGACCCACTGGAATTTCCAGGGTCAGCCCCAGAGTTGCCAGCCTGCAGCATGGCACCAAGGAGCTGGGTTTGGGTGTTCAGAAGAGATGAGCCCACCACAAAGGTCCCGGCATAATGAAGCCAGGCCAGAAGCCACACACAATTCACAGGCATCGCTGAAGCAGCAAGAAGGGGAACATTGGGTCCGGAGATCAGGGCCATCAGATGCCATGTTAATTAAGGGGAAGGGATCCCCTTTAAAGTCCCAAGCTACTGGGGAGAGGCCCTGTGGACCCAGACCCTTCTCATCTCTCCCAGAGTCCCTCCTGAAGAATCTCAGACCTTTAGTTTACTAAGAACCTAGTGTGTGCCAGGTACTGTGTTAGGGCTGAGGTGGTCCAGACCCAGCAGCCCTGGGGTTCAGGCTGTCCCTACTGCCCAGCATGACTCCTGGACCTGGGGGAAAGGGGGCAACTATACTAGGACAAGCTTTATGGCCAGTGGTCTCTGGGCTCCGTGTGTCCCAGTGGGCATATGTGCTGGCAATGACCTTCTCCTTGGGCAGTCCTGGTCATCTGCCCATTAAGCAACAATCTAGCAACTTTGATCAAGGACACCACATGAGTATTCACAGGAAGAGGAGAGGAGCTCAGAGGAGAAACATTTGTTGCCTCTGGCCTCAGTGCAAGGATATCCACACACATTACCTCCAACTGCAGCCGACTGGTGGGTTTAGACCCACTTACCAATGGCAAAGCAGCCTCAGAAAGGCCCACGTACACAGCTATTTAGATCGATTCAGCTACAGAACATGGAGGGGTGGACATAGGTTAGGTGTAGGTCTCTGGTCAAGGCAGACCCTTCCCGGGGCTCTACACCTAAGTCAGCTAAACTATAAACTCATCCTCGAGCATCAACCTTGACCTCAGGGTTGCAACATGAAGCTGCCAAACTTTGAACAGTGGTGCTGTCACTGCTGGGGCACTGGAAGTGAACGGGGGACCAGGGGCAGAGCAGCCGTGGCCTTTGGAGTTCACCGGGGCACTGCATGCTGGGAGCACGTGTGCCACTGGCGAGGGGGAATTCTAGGAATTGTAGTCCCTGGTGCTCTTAGAGTGTTCTGGGAGATGTGGTCTCCAAGGCACACTCAGCTGGCCTCTTGACCCATGCCCAAAGGGCACCCTAGCAGACTGCCTCCAGCCCCCTGTCTGGGTGGAGCTGAGTAGAGCAAGGAGTGGTCAGGAGTTTAGCCTGGAACAGGGCCTGTCCTGGAGCTGAGCCTCAGAAGCCTGTGTTGGAGATCCAGTCTGGCCATGCTGCAGGCAGCACCAGGTATAGGGCCCCAGCAGCCAGAGATCTGGCCCGGGCTGACCTCACCATGGCTTTTCTCTCTCCTTTCTGTCTTGTGACTTAGGAACCTGCCAGATGTGTCTGCTACAGACTTTGATAAGGTTGATCTGACCCGGTTCAAGTGGATCCACATTGAGGCAAGTCCTGCCCTACCTGTGTTTTGAGGGGCTCAACCTGCCAGCCCCTTCACGTATTCTGCCTTCTTCTTAGTTTTTTTGAACCATGAAGTACTTCAAGATAAAGGACTCCAACCTCCCCTCATCCCCTCTCCAGCTTGCTCTGTGTTTTAAGGCCCAGAAAGCACCTTACTCGGGTTCACACAGCAGGATGTAGGCACCAGAAGCAGGAGGCTGGCTCCAGGCAAAGGCCCATGCTTTCTGTGTCCCAGGCTGCCCACCTCCTCCACACTCAGAGAAGTCCTGAGTTTTAATCCTAGCCTTGTCATTTAATTCACCATAGGTCCTTAGGAAAGTCTCTCTTTAATTCCTTTGTCTCCTCGTCGGTGAAATGGGGGGTGTGGGGGGGTGCTGGGAGGTGGTCAATAAGGTCTCCAAGGTCCATGACTGCTCTAGAATTTTGAAATTTAGGATGGCATTCCGACCCAGTCCCCCCTCGCCCACCAGCAGGGAGGGAAGAAGAAGCCAGAGCAGCTGCTCTGCTGAGCTGGTCCTGAGCTGCCCCATCCCTCCCCACCCCGCCCCAGGGCCGGAACGCATCAGAGCAGGTGAAGATGCTGCAGCGGATAGAACAGCACAATGCCACACAGCCTCCGGGTCAGAAGATCCGAGTGTCCGTGGAGGTGGAGAAGCCCCGAGAGGAGTTGTTCCAACTGTTTGGCTATGGAGATGTAGTGAGTGGCCCACGCAGCTTCCCCTTGCCACATCCAGCTCATTTAGGTTTTGTGAGAGAGAGAGAGCACAGAGGGAGAGTGAGAGAGAGAAGCAGACTCCCCGCTGAGCGGGGAGCGGGAGTCGGGCAGGGGGGGTTCCATCCCAGCACCCTGGGATCATCACCTGAGCCACCCAGGCGCCTCTCATTTAGGTCTTAAAAGGAACCAAGCGTTCCCTTGGTTACCGGAAATGCCCACCACACCTGGAATGGCTTGCTGTCATTGGCAGGTGGGGGGCAAAGAGGCAGGCCCCCAGCTTTGGACTCCCTTGCAGGCCTCAGTGGTGGCGATGGAGAAAAATGTCTCCATCCCAGTGGGTGCGTAGGTACGAGAGTGGCCAGAGGGCTACTAGGGCCAGCCAGCGCACCCGTGTGGGAGCATTTCCTCTCTGGGCCTCCTCCGGCTTTCCCCCCGTCAAATGAGGGAATGGGACAGTCCTCCCGGGTGTCCTCCAACTCTGGGGTGGGTGGCGGGCTGTGGGAGCCACCAAGGGGTGAGGGAGGATGGGAAGGGGACTTGCATAAGGTAAATTTGGGTAGTGCTGGGATGGAAATGAGTTCTGAGTGACCATCCTAGCATCATAGCCCAAGCTGGTTGGGCCTCCACTGTGGCTGCACAGAGGTGTGGATGCCTGAGCCACACCGCGGGTTTTTATTTGATTGGTGAGGGTGGAGCTTGGCTGAAGTATTTTTTAGCAAAACTCCCTCTGGCAATTCCTTTTTTTTTTTTTTTTAAGATTTTATTAATTTATTTGACAGAGACACAGCGAGAGAGGGAACACAAGCAGGGGGAGTGGGAGAGGGAGAAGCATCCCGGGGTCCTGGGATCGCGTCCCTCTGGCAATTCTAACGTGTAGCTGGTGTTGAGGAAGCTCTACAACCCCTGCCCCTTTATTTTAAAGGTGAAGAAACTAGGCCCGGAGGGCATAGTTGTATCAGGAAAAGCAAAACAAAGCAAACCGCTCCTGAGAGCCGGAGGTGTAACTTGGCAGTGGTAGCTTTCACCGCGAGATGGCGCTCAAGGCTCGCTTTGGATTTTCAATTGCAGGGAAATTCGTTGAATTTAGACCAAATAAACCAAGAGACTTTTGTGCCACAATTTACCCGGCTGGCTTCTAGCATGTATCTTGAGCAAGTATGAAAACGCATTCCTGTGGGACAGTGAGATGCTACGTTGGGGATTTAGGCGGCCATGTTGGAGGAGTGGCATTATAATATGGGGGCAACGCTAGGCTGCTGGTGGTGAGTGACTGAGCTGGGACTGGGTTTGGGGGACCGTCAGCCTCTCTTCCACTGCCCACAGGTGTTTGTCAGCAAAGATGTGGCCAAGCACTTGGGGTTCCGGTCAGCGGGGGAGGCCCTGAGGGGTCTGTACGGTCGTGTGAGGAAAGGGTGAGTAGGGGAAAGCCAGGAAGAGGCCTTAGGTGTGGAGGGCCAGTGAGTCTGGATGCAGGGAGGGGGCGGCACTGCCCTGAGGAGGGGGATGAGGCTGGGGGCCAGGGGCAGGCCGACGACCCAGCTGAGTGGAGGGTCTTGCAGGGCTATGCTGGTCTGCGCCTGGGCTGAGGAGGGCGCTGATGCCCTGGGCCCTGATGGACGGCTGCTCCACTCGGATGCCTTCCCTCCACCCCGGGTGGTGGATACTCTGGGGGCCGGAGACACCTTCAACGCCTCGGTCATATTCAGCCTGTCCCAGGGTGAGTACCCCGGCAGGAGGCGCCAGGCTGAGGCCTGCCCCTGCCCAGAGGACCCGGCTGATCCAGCTCTCTGTCCCTCCAGGGAAGAGTATGCAGGAGGCGTTGAGGTTTGGCTGCCAGGTGGCCGGCAAGAAGTGCGGCCTGCAGGGCTTTGAGGGCATCGTGTGACTGCCCTGTGGCAGGGGGCACTGGCTCACACCACCCCCTCCCTGGAGGCTGGCGCCTCCATCCAGCCTGGCATCCACACTGCCCCGCTCCCTGGGCAGATGCAGCCTGTGGGGGGCGCTCCCCCTGTGTCCTGGCGGCTCACACCACCGAGCTGTGGAGCAAATAAATCTGCCCCAGAGCCGGCTTCCTTCTGCCAGTCTGTTTGTCCTTGATGTCTGAACCGCTCTGGCTGGGGATGCCAGAGGCTTTGATGCTACAGCCCTTCACCCTCTTATTCTCTATTCCTCAAAGTAACCTCCCTGTGTGGGCCCAGAGAAGGGGCAGCCTACACCGGAGTAGCAGGAAGTACCCCCGACTTGCCACCAGCTGCGCCCTGGGTGGAGGCCCAGCTGGTTCTGGTGAAGAGGAGCCACAGGGGATGGGTAGAGACCCTGAGCCTTCCTGGCTGGGGAGGACACACATCTCCTGTACCCCAGGGAACCTTCCAAATAATAAGCCACCGGAGAATCTCCTCTGGGCCCCTGGGCTGTCACAAGACTCCAGTCTGATGGCTCCAGGACTGTCCACACGGCTGAGCCAACCTGACAGGCCAGTGGGCAGGGAGACTTCTCTGTGGTTTGGTGGTGCCTTCACAGTCCAAAAATATCTCCCCTGTGACTGTCCCAGAGCCTGAAGCCCCACCCTTAGAGCCGCCTTGTCATTAAGGCGGTGCCTCGGCCACAGATGTGCCCCAGGACTCAGTGTTCATGTCCCTGGGGGGAGACCAGGGCTGAGGGCATATTGGAATTAGCCAGTTTTCATATGGGAGTTGGGGCAGGGTGTGTGAGACCACAGAATGTGCTAAGGACCATGGGTTTTGCGGTCTGACACACCTGAATTCAAATCTGCCACTTAATTGGCAGTGTCACCTTGGGTACATTACTGACTCGGTCTTCCTCAATTTCCTCATCTGTCAAATGGAGCTAATTCTGCCTGGTGGTAGAATTATCGTGAGTATACAATCAGACAATGTAGAAAATGCCCAGCATGACGCCTGGTGTGTACTCGGCTCTCAGTAAATGGCCATTCTTGTTAATATTACGGGAAGGGCACCTACAGGGTGGTGGGGAGGACCGGCTCGTTGCTGCAGGAGGGTCCTGGGTGTCTGAACCCCAGGGGAGGGGGAAGAGGGGCATTTGGGCCCCAGCGAGAGGCTGCGCTCTCTTCCCCAGCTTGTCTGCGGCTGGGCCCCGCTGCTGTCCCCTGCTGTCTCAGCACCCTCTGGGAACACGGTGGAAGCCGAAGCCCCTCCCAGAGGCCTGTCCAATCCCCCACCCCCTGTGTCCCTGAGGCCAGACCGGCCAGACCAACCAAGTAGATGGCCCAAGCAGATGAGTTCATTCAGTTCTTTATTGGTTATCTGGGCCCTAAAGCTGCCCCCTCAACTTCGGGTCTCCCTGAGCTGCACAGAAAGACCTGCCCCTCCGGGGGCCAGGAAGCAGACATACACCCAGCATACACAGCTCACTCTTTGGGGCTTATGTTCTGGTGCTGAGACTTCTAGGGGTGCAAATCTCTAGCCTCAAGGTTCATATCTCATCATTCTCCAGTTGAATAACATGAACTTCAAACTCATTTGGGGTGTTCTTGGATTCCGGTGTTTCCCCTGGATGTTCCTCTGCGTCCTTTCCAGCGTCACTGGCCTCTTCCTGGCCCGTAGCCTCTGCTCTAGGGCCTGGGGCTTCTCTTTCAGCCTCTGCCTGTCCCCCAGCCTCCTGTACAGGCTCCAAGGACTCCCTTGTGGCCTCCACCTGTGCCCCATGTTCTCTGGGACCCAGGGCTCCCTGCAGCTCTTGTCTGGACAGGCTTTTAGCTAACGGGGACTGCCTCCCAACATCTTGTGGCTCTGGGGGCTCTTTGGGCTCTGTGTGCCTTGGGGCCTCTCCTGGGAAGTTGATGAGCTCTGCAGGGGTCATGAGCCCATCCCCATTCAGGTCCTGGGTCTCGAGCACCTTGTCCACTACCAGGATCACCTGTGGAAGCACACGTTTGCTGGAGAGTCTGCAGCAGACAGAGATGTTCCCAGGAGCCCTGACCCTCCCAACACCTCCCCACATTCCTGCCAGGCAGGCTCAGAGCACTTCTTTTATCGTGGATTCACCAAAAGAGTCATGATGAAAAAGACTAAAGCCCCAAGAAGCTGAGTCTCCTTCGTGGGAGAAGGGGCCCCCCGGCCAGCAGGGCTTACCGGGTTGGCGATAGGAAAATCAGCAGCTCCGGGCGCCAGAGCTGCAGTTAACATGGACAACAGCTCCAGGCCGTCCAGCTGTCCACTTTGGTCATAGTCGTGGAGGGCAAAGAGGTAGAGGAGAACTAAGGAGGAGAAGCCGGATCAGAAGAGGCACCAGGAACAGGTGGAGGAGGCAGGGGGCAACTGACAGCCCAGGGTCAGTCCTGGCTCTGCTGCCCCTGAGCCCCCTGCCCACTGGCCCCGGTGCCCAGCCCCTCACCCTGCTCCCGGCTCATGTGTTCCGGCTCCTTTTCCATTCTCTCCAGTCCCTGTAGGTAGTTCTGCAGAAGCCTGGCAGAAACGGGGAAAGTAAGCCCAGAGAGGCCAGTGTGCAGACCCAGGCCCAACGCCCCAGCCCCCGCCCAGCCCACTCACCGAAGCTGCTCCTGGCCTGGCTGGAAGGGGTTGGACAGGGGCAGCTGCTGTACCTCGGGGTCCAGCCTGGAGGAGGAAGAGAAGGGCCAGGCTTGCCAAGAGCCTCCCTGAGGATCCGGCCTACCAGACTTCCACCCTCAAGCTCCTGGCAGAGTGCTCTCCCCAGACCCAAGGGGCGTTGTTCTCTCAAATTCCCAAACACCTTGTGGGGAGGAGGCCCTTCTGGTCTTAGAAGCAGAACCTGACTCCCTCAGACTGTTTTTACAGATTCCTAACTTAGATGTTAAGGGAAAACCCAAATAAAGCACCTGGTTAGACAGAGGCCAGATGAAGCCACACCTAATAGATACAAGTTGGAGACCCAAGAAAACAGTGAGTGGGTGTCCGGACAGCGGGGCTCGCGGTCACCCTTCGGCTCTGGGGCCGGGCCCGAGGCACTGCCCAGGTTTCCGCAGACCGGATTTGCTCCACGACACAAGCTGAGGGCGTAGATGTTGGTTTTGGAGTTTTGATCTGCTCAGGCTCTCTTTCTCAGTCCTCCAAACCCAAGATTTGCTCCCAGTTCTGGACGGGGCTGCCTGTTTGCCCAGATCAGTTCAGACCTGTGAGGCCAGATGGCCGGCAGGAGCTGCAGCAGCAGCCTTTGTCCCCGTGGCCAGCCTTGCTGCTCTCCCTGTGTCTGCCCCCTACCCCAGCCCACGTACTCGCGGTGTGCTTTTCACACCGGAACCCCTGAGACGGTTGGGCACACAACCCCAAATTGGTCTGCTAATGATCTCCAAGGCTCTGGCATTCCCACATAAGGTCTTGAGAAGTGCAGCCCCTTCCCCGGCCCAAAGCTTCTTCCCCAAGCTTCACACCCCGTTGGAACGGAGTCCCCGGATCCCAGATGAGCTGATCCCAGCAAAGGTGCACCGGGTGCCCACTCTGCGAAGGGCGCCCCTACGGGCACAGACAGAGATGGCAGTAACTGGGGAAGGGGGGTGGATACAGAGCTCAGGGAGCATACACCCCAGGCTCCTGCCTCCCAGAGGGGCCCAGCACACCCTCAGATTCTCCAGAGACTCTCCATATCCCAGCCTATGGCCCTGCCCTCTGAGGCCCATTACCTCACGGTTCCATCCTTGGGCGCGGACTGACTCAGGGGCAGCAGCACTAACATTCTCATTGCCAAAGGTAACAACATCCTTGCTGGAACTGGAACTAGGAACAGAGTCAGGGAGTCAAGGGGAAGGGAGGTCTGCCACAGAGTGGGGGGATGGGAGGGTTAGACAGGCACGCCTTGGCTCCCTGCCTCCACCTGCAGCCAGGTGACAGGACTCCTGCTCAGGGAGGAGGCTGGCACAGACATCAGCCATCCCCTGTGGAATTTGTCCAAAACAAATCTTACTCCGGACCCAGTGTGTAAAGCACATAAATCAGACCTGCTGTGGTGGAAGCAGCTCTGCAGGCAGGAGCCCCTCCCCACACCCATTCCCCCCCACCCCCACTGAGGTGCCCTGCCCATCCCCCAACCCCATCCCCGCCCCTCCAGCCCGAGGTGCTCGGAATAGTGCAGTTCAAGTAGATCTACTCCAGTCCAGTCCCTCACTTTGTGATGGAAACTAGCTCCAAGACCTTAAGAAAAAAGCCAAATCAGAAATGCAGAGGGTCACAAAAAGACCATGACTTACACGGAGGCAGATTATTAGCCTGTATTTATTAAAACTCAGCCAAGAGCAAATTGGTAAAGGCTCAGACTCCTTGAAACAGATCTAAACTCAGTTAAGGATTGAAACAAATCACAGTCAAACCAACAGTGGCCCCAGGACCTATTCCTTTCTCTTGGGAAATCCCAATAGAAAAGAAAAAACAAAAGCTTCCTTTAGACCTACACTGTGCAGGCCCATTGGCAATGCAAGCACTTGGTTATATGAAAACAGAAAGGATCAGTCAGAAGCACAGAGCATGAAGCTTACTTGACTAGTCCCAGGTGGGATGTATGTTATCATAACGAATTCCTAAGGAAGCACACGCCCACCACAGCTGAGGCCTGAGACCCATCCCCATAGCTAGGAAGATAAATCAGGTGCAGAGGATCAGGGCCCTGTCATGGTCTTGGACATTCTGGCTGGCATGGAATTCTCCTGGGGAAATGTCTGTAGCTTTCATCAGATGCTCAAAGAGCTCCATGGCTCTAACAAGGTCCAGAAGCACTGCTAGGCTGGACGTCAACTGCTTCAGAGAGGTGGGGTAGGGCAGGGGAGCATCCGGCCCATGGGAAGATGCTTGTGGGAGGCTGGTTGTAGCTGTGCAAACAGAGCTGCCTTGAGGAAGAAGCAACAAAACATGGAAGTCTACAAGAAGGTGAAGCTAC